GCCCATGACCCGCCTCCGGCCCCCGCCCTCCCGGTCCAACCTCCGATCTGTTTAGTAAGAAGGTGCTGTTTTGAAAAGAAGGAAAAGTGGGGAGCGCAGAAACTCGCTCCTGGACGCGGGAAGCAAACCGTCTCCCTGCACCCTTAGACTCGTCCCGTGCTCGCGACGGCGGCGTTGGCGGACTGATACGCGGCGGTGAAGAGGCAGGAGGAGGGGGAGGGGCGGAGCGTGGCAGCTGGCAGTAGTTCGGTCAGAGCGGACATCTTGTGGCTGTGTCGTGCGCGTGAGCCCCGTAGGGCCGGGGAGGCACCCAGCTTCCGCGCGGGGAGGAGGCCGAGGCCGCAGCTTGAGGGAGGCCCCGGCCCCTCAGTACGCGTGGGTGTGGACGGCTAGGGGAAGGGAAGGGAGGTCGGCCTACTGGCCGGCCGGGTAAGAGGGGAAACACAGGCCTTGGGTGGCTTGACTGTCTAAGCCTGTTGGGTGGGGTAGGGTGGGAAGGTTGGAGAAGCCGGGGCCTCCTGATTTAGGGGGAGGGGGAATGGGCGCGTCCTCGCGCCTAAGCCGGAGCCTCAGGGGCTGCATGGGCGCGTGGTGGCGGTGGCTGGGCGGGAGCGCGCGGGAGCGCGCTGGAAGGCGGAGTGTACGGTGGCGTCAGGGACGACACAGAATAGCTGGAGCTGCGGGGACAGCAACACACATCTAGCCTCCCTTCTTTATTTCCTCCTCTTCCCGGCCGCACCTTGAGTAGAAACCGAAAGAAGCCCGGCGTCTGTCCGGAGCCTCCTGACTCCCCTCCCCCCCAGCCTTTCTTTGCCCTAGTGACGCCGGCATAGCGCCGACTAGGCCCCAGCTCCTCCTCTGCTGGGCTCCGGACCCTGCCCCGCACCCACCCCTTTCTCCTACGCCTCTTCCTCTCCCACCCGGGTCTCTTCCTTTCAAGAGGCCGGGAAGTCAAACTTGTAGCCCCCCCTCCGCCCGTCACTCTCACCCCGTCTTCGGGCCGAAGCACGGCATAGAGGCTGTTGGTGGTTTTGCCACGCCACCCCACCCACCCCGGATCCCGGCCGTTTTAAGGGACCTGGATTCATCGGGGTCTCTTCGGGGCCTGTGCGAGTGCTGATCTGCTCCGTTTTTGCAAAAGGCGCCTGTGTCTGGCAGAGTCGGTGTGAGACGAAGAGACAATCCTTCCCTGCCGCCGGGATAATCAAGAGTTTTGGCCGGACCTTTGAGCACACACCGAGATAGTGAGGAGCCAGACGCAAAGCACAGACTATGGCGCTGAAACGGATTAATAAGGTAACCCATGGAGCTGAAGGGGATTGGGGTCGTGGGAGGAAAGGAAGACTCAGGCCCAGGGGAAGTGTGGGGATGGGGGACGTATAATTATGAAAATATCCTTCTTTGGATCATTTTTCTATTGGGGGATGGGGAACCCGGATATATTTTATGAAGAAATGAGGTTTAAAGCTAGTGAACAGAACGCTTGTGGCAAGTAGGGTGTTATCTTGAGTATGTTTCAGTGAAATCGGTGCAAATTCGGGGTGAGGAAGAGTGATTGCAGGCTCCTCGGTTCTTCTAAAGGAAGTTAACCCCGTTTGGGGGTCAGAATTGAGAGACGCTCCCGCAGATGTCATGGGCTTCCTATTCTCAGGAAAACTTATTTTAATTGTAAGATCAAGTTTTAGGCTTTTTAGGGCGAAGAAAGGAAGCTCAGAGGGGAAAAGATCGCAGAAATCCGGCGGGTCCCGAACTTTATTAGGGGTTGAGGTAGAATTGTCTTGCCACCCGAAGAGGAGCAGTGAATGAGTCTAGTCAGAAACTCATCATCACTCTGGGCAGGTTTCACAAGAATAAGTGGTGTTGGGAGGAGATGGGCTGACACACTGTTGCCACTTCCTATGGTTCGGGCCCAAGCTTTTCACCCGAAGCTATTTATCGGAAGCACACCGGGAACTGATGTAAAAGCCTTCTGGAAGCTTGCTTTCTCTTTGGGGGGGGGGAAGA